ATATACATAGGTATATATAAACTGCTCGGAGTTAGGGGGTGGGATCGCAGTGGCACGGAGACCCCAAACCGGGAAATCGTTTCGTTTCGTTCGTGTCGTGCATGCGGGCGAGGCGAAGCTGCGTGGGCGCGCGAGAGGAATGAACCCGCCGGTGCTAAGGCGAAGTCAAGACAAATGATTCTGCCCCTCCCGCCCGTCCGGCGGTGTCCCGCGGTGTCCCGCAGTGTCTCGTGGTGTCCCGTGGTGTCCCGTGGTGTCCGCCGCTGCTAGGGCGAAGTCAAGACAAATGATTCTCCCCCGCCCGCCCGTCCGGCGGTGGCTCGCGGTGGCTCGCGGTTTCCCGCGGTGTCCCGTGGTGTCCCGTGGTGTCCGCCGTTGCTAGGGCGAAGTCAGGACAAATGATTCTCCCCCGCCCGCCCGTCCGTCCGTCCGTCCGGCGGTGGCTCGCGGTGTCCCGCGGTGTCCCGTGGTGTCCTGTGGTGTCCCGTTGGGTGAGATCGATCGTGAGATCGAAACTGAGATCGATGTGGTGCCCCGAGGTGCCCCGTGGTGTCCCCCAAAATTAGATCGATTGTGAGATCGATAGTGAGATCGACAAGTGTCCCGTGGTGTCCCGTTGAGTGAGATCGATAGTGAGATCGAAACTGAGATCGATGTGGTGCCCCTCGGTGTCCCGTGGTGTCCCAAAAAATGAAATCGATAGTGAGATCGATAGGTGTCCAGTGGTGTCCCGTTGAGTGAGATCGATGTGGTGTCCCGAGGTGTCCTATGGTGTCCTGTTGAGTGAGATCTATAGTGAGATCGATCGTGAGACCGATAGTGAGATCGAGAGGTGTCCCTCGGTGTCCCGTTGAGTGAGATCGATAGTGAGATCGATAATGAGATCGACAAGTGTCCCGTGGCGTCCCGTGGTGTCCCGTTGAGTGAGAGCGATAGTGAGATCGATTGAGTCAGATATTGGTTCTCCTCTCTCCCCCCCTCCCACAACCTCCTTATCACCCGAAGAGTGGTCGTCGTTTAGGTATGTATGTATGTATGTATGTATGTATGTATGTATGTATGTATGCATGCATGCATGCATGCATGCATGCATGCATATATATATATATATACACACACTTTCATATATGTTTTTTTCCTGATGTTCTGACCGTCGCCGTACTGATGCAGGGTCCCAAATGGGCCTACTCGGGATCTCTTGAGGTCGTTTTCAAGCCGTCTTGGGGGCCCACTGGGCCGTCTTGGGGCCCTCTGGGCCCTCTAGGCAATCTTCGGGGGCCTCTTGGAGCTGTTCTGGGGCGGTCAGGGGGCCCTGTTGGGCTGTCTTGGGGCCTTCGTGGGCCGTCCAGAACCCCTCCGAGAGCCTCTTGGGCAGTCCTGGGCTCGTCTTGGGGCCCTCTTGGGCGCCTACTGGGCCATCTTAGAGCGATTTCGGGAGCCCCTTCGGCTGTCTCGGGCGCTCTGGAAAACGAGAAGCCGAATTTGCGAAAATGGCACCGGATTCAAAGGGCAACCACCTGGGACCCCTTGGGAATCGTCATCGGTCCCAGTTGGGCCATCTCGGGAGCCCGTTGGGTCGTCGAATGGCCATCTTGGGCCCTTTTTGGGCCCGTCGTGGCCGTCTTGGGGCCCTCGTGGGGCCTTCCTGAGGCCTCCTGGGGGCCATCTTGGGCCATCTGGGGTCGTCTTGGGCCCTCCTGGGGCGCTCTGGAACCAGTCTCCCTGGCCGGGCCCGAAGTTGTCCCGAATCAGCTTCTTATGAACAAGAGAAGCGATTCTATTTGTACTTCTATATATGTATATATGTGTATATATATATGTATATATATATATATATATTGTTTTGTTTTTCATTTCTTTCTTTTTTCTTTCATTCTATCACTCTCTCTCTCTCTCTCTCTCCTTCTATATGCACATCTAGAGTATATAAGCATGTCTACCAATGTTGACCCCAAACAATGGGCCAAAATAGTCTCGATGCTCGCTCTATGTGGCGCAATCCATGGGGTGCAGTGCACTCAGTAAGGCGCAGCGAATGGGGTGGTACCCATGCCGTGCAAGCCATGTGGTGCAATACTTGTGACTGCCTGCACCTCCTGCAAACAAAGAGGTGTGTACATCCCCACATGAAGAATTCCACGCAGACGCGGTCCCGCACGCACCTCTCGGAACCGACCCTGGCCGTTGCCCCTCCCCATGCCACACCCGGGTGCCAAGTGTGGGGCCCGCCTCTGGGTCGACCCCTAAAATCCATGTGTGTATCTACATATATATATATATACATATCTGTATATAGATGTATGTATGTATGTATGTATGTTTGTATGTATGTATGTATGTATATATATATGGGTAACTGTACAATTGCATCTACATATTTTTTATATACGCAAGATTTGTGGGCTCGCTTCGCTTCGCCGTAATCTTGGTCCTGCGTCCATGCGCTCCCAACCACTCGGAGAAGAAATGATTCGTGAAATCCGATGATAACCATGCGGGGGATCACGGTCAACATCCCGGAACGGGCCACAGGCATGTCTTGGGTTGGGGACAGAAAGCATCGGTGTGACGGGGACGGGGCCAAGATCACGCATGCGAGGTGGGAGGAAGTGTTGACCACGAGGGTGCTGCGGTCATGACGTCCAAGGAGCAATGCCATGAGCGTCAACAGAGAAAAACATAAACGAATGATCCGCAGCTCGGACGGCGAGGACGAAGAAGAGGAGGAGGACCAAAACGACGAGGAGGGCGGGCACGACGAGCCCGACGGTGCCACAATCGCCAGGAGGGGAAAAGGTCATGACGGAATGCGCCTCCGGCAGCGAGAGAGCTGATGTGATGACCGCGAGGTGGGTGAAGGTCGCGAGATTAAAAAACTACAGCTATGAGTGCGAATGGGGACCGCGGGCATTGGGAGCGGGGTAGACGTGAGGGTCGTCGGAGAGGGGCAGGTGTCGGTGCGACGAGGGGGCGACGCTGATGACGGAGAGGGGGGTGAAGGTCATTGCTGGGAGAAGGGGTGGCGAGCCCAACGGTGAGAAGAGGGGCCCGTAATGACAAGTTCTTTGTCGTGGCCAATGCTTCAGAGCTTCTCACGTGCCTTTGGGGCCCCTACGCCGCCTAAGGGCCTCTTGGAAGCCTCTGGGGCGTTTTGGGAGCCGCGTGCACCAACTCCGAATCCATTGACAGGTTTGGAAGTATCGTAGACTTGTACATCTCGCGGCCCTCTTGGTCTTTTCGTGGCCAGCGGAAGACGATGACGATGACAAATGTCCGATCGTTTTGAAGATGGCCTGGGTGAGGCTTGGACGCCTTGATGGAGGTTGTCTCAGGCTCGGGTGGGCTTTCGGGGGCCTTGGCGTTCACGGCGCCGACTGGCTTACAGCTGGCCGATGACGGTGGGACCAACATGGAAGACGATGGCGAACTGGGAGCTGGAACAGAAGATACAGAGCATGGAATGAATGAGGACGAGCACCAGCCGACTGATGTACGCTCGTTTTGGAAGTGGACTGGGTGTTGTTTGGAGGCTTCGAGGGAGGGTCTCAGACTCGAGGGGACTCTAGGGGGCCTTGGCGTTCACGGCGCCGACTGGCCTACGGCTGGCCGAGGCGAGTAGAAATGAGCTGTCTCGGGGGATAAGGAGGCGGCAGCTCAATGAAGCGGGGACACGGACACGACCGCGAGGGGGACCGTGGTCATGTCGCAGGGGCCGTCGTGCCGCCATGGCGGCACACCCTTGACTTGGCTCGTGAGCTCGGAGCGTCTTGGGTGCCCGTCGGGGCCTCGCGGCGTGCTTCTGTGGGGCCTCTGGGTCTGGCAGCTCTGCAGGGTTCGTGCGTCGGGGGCCTCTGGGAGCCTCTATGGAAACGCCGTGCAGGACGCACGACGCGAGGCCTCCCATACGCTTCTGGGAGCCTACGGGGAGGCTTTCTGGGGGCCTTTTTTGGAAGCATTCTGGGAATCTCTGGGGGCCCTTTGGGCTTTCTTCGGGGTCCTTTTGGGGCTCTTTTGGGCCGGCTGGGAACCTCTTGGGCCGTCCTGGGGCCCTCGTGGGCCGTCTTGGGGGGCTTGGGCCGTCTTTGGGCCCTCTGGGGGGCCTCTTATGGCCCTCTTGGAGCTCTCTTGGGCCTTGTGTGTCGTCTTGGGGCGATCTTGGGGGCCTCTTGGGTCGTCTTGGACGCTGCTAGAACAGACGAATCGAAGATGCTGGACATATACGCATCCCGAAGCGAATGCGACGATCTGTGCCTCTTAGGGGCTCTCTGGGGAGCCTCTTGGGCCGTCTTGAAGGCCTTTGTGGCGTGACCGTCTAGAAGCCGTCTTGGGTCCTCTTGGAGCGCTCTTGGGCCATGCTGGAAGTATCTTAGGGCGCCTTGAGAGCCTCTTGGGCCAGCTTGGGGGCCTCTTGGGCCAATGTGGGGGGCGCTTTCGACTGTCCGGGATCTCTTCCGACAAGTGCCCCGGAGCTGGGGAGTACCGTCCTAAAGGTAGGGCGGGGAGGGTGGGTCCTCCGGGGAGTTTTGTCCATACAGGATGTATACATGTTACGTATTTGTATACACATTGATAGGGAGAGAGAGAGAGAGAGAGAGAGAGAGAGAGAGAGAGAGAAAGAGAGAATGAGCTATGGACATACATCTATATTGTATGTACATACGTGCACATGTATACTGTGTGTATATATATATGTAGAGAGAGAGAGAGAGAGAGAGAAAGAGAGATACATAATAATAGAGAGAGAGAGAGAGAGAGAGCGCGCGAGAGAGAGAGAGACAGAGAGGCAGGGAAAGAGAATGAGAGAGAGAAACCGTTGCGGCGTGAAAACCGCACGAGCGAAACTCTCGGCTTTGCCTTTCGATGGGTCTTGTTCGACGTGGACCGGCCCGTAAACCTCCCAGGGTCCGAAGCGGAGCTGAGCCGCGGCCGCGCTTTTCCACGACGCCTGGGCTGGAGCGGAAGAGGGCGGTGCACGATTCGGACGGGGACGGGCGGCCGACCTGGGCTTCGGCATCGGCACCTTCGGACTCCGCGCTGTCGGTCACGGCCTCAACCTCGCGCGCACGCAACCGTGCGAGGACCGTCGCGCCGCATTGACGGCGTGACGGCGGCAGCAGCGCAGAAAGATCACGAGGGGGGGCAGGGGGCGCCAGGAACGCGCACAGACGACATTGTTTCAAATGGGAGGAGGATGGTGAAGATAAGGTCGGACGATGGGGGTGGGGAAGCGGAGAAAGACAAGGGGGCGAGGAGGACTGAAATGAACGCAGGAGGAAAGGCACAGGCGGGAGCCATCATCGGGGCCTGGCGCGCTCTGGCGGCATCTCGGGTGGGCGATCGACCACCAGCATAATCCGCCGACCCCTTGTCGGTCTCTAGGCGTGTGAGATTGTTCCCCCCATAAGCCCCCCCCCCCCCCCCGGGGGACCCCAATCCGGCAATTTCCCCCCCCCCCCCCCCCCCTCGCCGCGGACGACCTCCCCCTGGCCCACCCCCGAACTCATCAGGGGGGGGCTGGGCTCCCCAGGCTCGTTCTGGAGCTCCAAGACAGTTCGTCGAGCGTCCCAAGGCACCCCCAACACGGTCCAAGAGAGCACAGAGTCGCCGAATGATCGCTCCAAGACGCCCACGATGGTCCCAAGACAGCCCCAGAAAGCGCCAAGGCGCTCCAAGATGCATCCAACGGGCTTGCGGAAGAGAGGCCCGATAAGCCAAAGTCGTCCCTTTCCCAAGGGAAAGCGTTCATTTTTGGCGTATAAGACTGTTCGGCCTCCACGACGTTGAAAACGGCCCACGAGCCCGCCAAGACCGCCCCAAGAGGGCCCACAATGCCCTCAAGAGAGCTCCAAGACGGCCCAAGAAGGCCCCAAATCGGCCCAAGAGGCGCCCAAGAGGGCTCCATGACGGCCCCAAGGGGGGCCCAGGACGGGGAGCCCGACCAACACATCCGAGCCGTCCGCCCCAAGACGCTCCCAAGAGAGCCCAACGAAAAAAACCGAAGAGGCTCCCAAAAGGCTCCGAAGAGGCCCCAAGAGGCTCCCAAAAGGCCCACAAGAGGCTCCACAACGGCCACCAAGACGCTTCGAAACTGCCTCCAAGAGGCCCGCGAGCCACCAAGCAACGAAAACATCGACATGCGCATGGACAGCCTACACTTGTAGCATAAGGGATTCTTCGGCCTTCACGGCGTGGACGACCGTCCAACACGCTCCCAATACCGCCTGAAGACGAGCCGAACGACTCCCAAAGGAGCCCCCAAGACAGCCCCAAAGCGCCCCGAAACGGTTCACCAGTCCTTCCCGCCTTCCGCCCGAAGAAGCTCCCAGGAGGCCGCAATATGCCCCCAATCGGCCCCAAGAGGCCCCCAACCAGCACCCAAATGCTTCAAGAAACCTTCCAGAGGATCAACAGAGACCCCACAACGGCCCCCAAGTGCCTTCCCTTCGAGCCTGCCTCCAAGAAGCCCACGAGACCCCAACGGATACATCCCCGAAGTTTCGTAACAACACCCCAGGCACGGTGGCGGGATCGTCCCAAAGCACCAACGGGCCTCCAAGACACCCCCGAAATCCTCCAGTACGCCTCTCAGGAAGCCACCAAAACGGAACAATCGCCCAATTCTTTTAGGAAAGCGTGCCATTTGCGCATTAGCGGTTTTCGGCAAACACGGCGTGCACGACCGTTCAAGAGACCCCCACGACGGCTCCAAGACGGCCCCAGAAACTCCAAAGGGGCCCCCCAAAGAGCCCCCAAACGCTCCGAGACGGCCCAACAAACCTCGAAGACTGCCCCACCGTGTACCAAGGCTGTTCCAAGACGGGTTCAAGAGGGGAGCCCCGAATCACAGACCCCAATATTTCCCCAGCGTGCTCCAAAACGGTTCCACGAGTGGCCCAAGAAGTGACACCAAACCCATAATTCCAACGTTCCACCCGACGAATCTCCCAATAATCCCTACGATGCCCCGAATAGGCCCCAATAGGCTCCCAATGGCCGAGGGCACCACCAAACCGAGCCCCATGAGATCCTCACGGACATTCTAAAGGCTCCACGCCCACAACCCAGGCACGGTGGCGGGATGGGCCGACAGCCACGATGTAATGCCACTGAGATGGCCTCCAAGACGGGTAAGATGGCTCCAAGATGCCTCCAAGACGGCCCAAGATGCCCTCCAAGACGGCCAAGATGGCCCCAAGATGCCTCCAAGATGGCCCAAGAAGCCTCCAAGACGTTCTCCAGGAGAGCCCGAAGAGGCCAAAATCATCGGTTTTCCTTAGGTTTTTGAAGGTCTTTTGCGTTTTCTTCTTTTCGGCCTTCCGACGGCCCAAGAGGCCCCCAAGATCGCCCAAGAGGCCTCCAAGAAGGCCCTATGACGGCCCAAGGGCCCCCCAAGACGGCCCCAAGGGCGCCCCAAGACGGCCCAAGAGGCCTCCAAGACGCCCAACATGGCCTCCAAGACGGCCCTGAAGCGCCCCAAGAGGGCCCCAAGACGGCCCAGAGAGGCCCCCAAGACGGCTCCAGACGGCGTCAGACGGACCAGGAACGCCCTAAGACGGCCAAAGAGACCCCCAGGAAGCCCCCAAAGGCCCCCAAGAGGCCCAAGGAGGCCCCCAAGATGCCTCCAAGAGGCCTCGAAGAGGCCCCCAAGAAGCCCCCAACAGACCCCAAGGGTGCCCCAAGAGACTCCTAACAACCCTCATCCTCCTACTCTATTTCTTCCTCTTCCTCTTCCTGTTCATAATCATTCTCTCCCATGTGTTCCCCGAAAGCTTTCCAAACCGACTCGGGAAACTCATGGTCCGATAGCTTGGCCAAGCTCTAGTCCAACTTTCGGCCACATCGGCGTTTCCAAAAAGGCAGGGGGCGGCGGTGATTCGCCGTAGGCGTCTTCGATAATGCCACTGAGTCCAGCGGCCCGACGTTGCCGCCCCAAGACGCCCGATCCGTCCCTTCTATTATCAGGTCTATCCCCTTGACCCAAGCCGTGACGTCGGTCACCTCCTTCGAAGACATACACTTTTAGCATCTCCGGCTCCTGCCCCCCCATTGCTCCCACCCAAGCCGAAACATCGTCCAACCCCCTTCAGAACACATACGCGCATACAGCATCTCCGACTCGAGTGGCTTCGGAGCTGACGCAGGGTCTCGATGTACACGCGAAAAGAACTCGTCTCAAAGGAACCCGAATCGTCCCGAACGCCCATCGGAAGCCTGAGGTCAGGCCCGAGTCAGGTCGATATCCTGTTCAGTCTTCCTCCTCCTCCTCTCCCTTGATATCACCCCGTTCTTTTCCAGTGCCCCCGTGGCAGCACCAAACATTCGCGCGCTGCCACGAGCGCTGCCGCGCGAAATTCGGTCCAACCACGAACTGAGATTTTGGGAATATCCTCTTGCGCGCGCCGATGCACTCGTACGCTTGACAACTCCGCGCCGTGAGCCCGAGGCCTACACAATCTGCGCAAACAACTTTTGTCTTCCTCGAGAAGTGATCACTCTCTTGCCGGTCACTTATATGGTCCTGCCGAAGGAACTCCTTCTCGCGCGCCCCGCACTTCAGCTGTCGCTTCAACCGCTTCGCCGCGTCGCCCACACCTTTCGCGGTGACGCCCCGCTCGGCACACTCTTCACGAACAAATTTCTTTGCGTCTTTCCATCGATGCTTCTCTACTTGCTTTGGTTTCAAATGCGCCGTGTCCGAAAACATTTTCCCGCGCCCTGGCGTGCAGCACGTCGACGCCTCTGCTTTTCGCCTCCCCGCATCGGCAAGTTCCTTCGCGGTGGCGTCCTTGTGGTGACACTTTGCGCAGACCACTCTTGCTCCTTTCTTCCTCCAGTTGTCCTTCACCTAGTTTCGGTTCACATGGCCGAGCTCCCATAAGGACACCCTGCAATTGGGCGCGCAGCACGTCAGCGGCTCCGCTTCCGCCTTTGCTTTCTGCTTGCGATTCCCTGATTCGTAATTCGTCCGCAGCACCGCCTTCTCCCGATCCTCCGCGCACTTCTAACACAACCTCTGCCCCACTGAGTTGTGCTTCTTTTGCGCTTCCGAGATCTCCGCCTTTTCGTCGTACAGCGACATCCTCCTCCTCCCCCTCCTCCTCCTCCTCCTCCTCCTCCTCGCATGAAGAACGCATCTTGGGCTTACTCCGGTCCCTCCTTCTCCTGTTTTCGGCTCTGTCCTACGCATGGTGGGCGCACGGCTTCCGCCAGACCTTCATCAATTCGCGGCCTGCGCGGACGATGTTGGCAAGGTCTCGATTTCTGTTGCCGGCAATGTTGCGCGCTCCATGCCTGTCCGGGCGGTTGCCAGTATGCATGGGGAACGTCCGTGCGTACAAGACGACCGGCGACTACGTACACTGCTCGCGAGTTTCTGCAGGATCTGGCTCGACTTGGATTTCACACATTCTCGGCAACGATTGTCTTTGGCATTGATCGGAGCGCCTTATCTTGAGCCACTCCCGTGCTTAAGCTCCAATCGCGTGCGCGTTCAACGAATACTTTGACCCTGGGCCTTCTGATATCTATAGTCCGACACAGCGTGGTCGACTTCTGTTTTCTCGCTTATGCGTCACAAGTGTATCATCTTGACCCCGGAGGTGGAGCGGCGTGCCCTGGAGCCTCTCGCACGGTGCCCTTGCAATCGCCTCAGCGAGTCCATGCGGCGGGCTCGTGTCGAGACGCCACGTGTTTCTGTCGATCTTCGAACGATCGGCGGCTTCTTTAGACAAGCGCGCTCCACTACTCGCAATGTAACTACTCACAAATGGCCTGGATCCGCCGCGGGGGATTTACGATCCGGTACATGGAGGACAACATTTTTCTCGGACGCTTGCGAGTAGGCACCGTGCGAGTAGCGGAACGGGCTCGGTGATTCTCGATCCACATCGGGCGAGATTCTTGGCCACTGGCGGCGCTCAGCCCTGAACGCCCGTGGCGGGGTCGCCAGTGCGTCGACACGGCGCGAGCCCGCCGTACTCAGACGCCTCTCTTGCTTCTGCCCTCCCTGCCTCTGCCCCAGACTTGGCCGGCACAGCGCGTGCGGTCCATGTGCAGGGTGGCGCGGCGGAGGAAGCAACTTTCTGCCGCCGTTGGCCTGCCGACCGAGTTCGGGCCAGGGCTTGGGTGCATCTACCGTAAAGGCTTGGGTGCATCTGCTGGCTCGAAGGTCTGGACGCTTCGCGAAACTCCACCAGCCCATCCAGAAACGATGCCCAGTGGAGTTGCCTCGATCAGGGAGGTGGGCAGCACACAGAGGGTCCCCCAGCGGAGGCCTCTTGGAGCGTCTTGGGGGCCTCGGGGGGCCTCTTGGGGGTCTTTCGGGGGCCTCTTGGAGGCCTCTTGGGCGCCTCTTGGGGCCTCCTGGGCGCCTCCTGGGGCCCTCTTGAAGCGCTCTTGGGAGCCTTGGGAGCGCTCTTGGGGCCATCTTGGAGGAGATCGATCAAAACATATAGGAGCTTTGATTACGACCCCCTCTCGGGAGCCCCAAGAATTCGCCTCTTGGGCCCCTCTTGGGGCCCTCTTGGAGCGCTCTTGGGCGCTCTTGGGGCCGTCTTGGGGCTCTCTCGGTGGGCCTCTCTTGGTGCCCTCGGGGGCCCTCTTGGAGCTATCTTGAGGCCTCGGAAGGCCATCGAAAGCAGAACGGCGAGAAGGCCAAATTCATTGATCCCCCTTGGGCTTTTGAGAGATTCTGGCCTCTTGGCGGCCTCCTGGGGAGGTTCCGTGGCCACTTGGAGCCGTTTTGGAGCGGTCTTGGGGCCCCTAGGAGCATCTTGGGATCCATCTTGTAGCCATCTTAGGCTGCCTTTGAGCCATCTTTGAGGTCGTCTTGGGCTCTCGGTGGCCCTGCTCTTGGAGCCATCTTGGGCCATCTTGGTCGTTCCAACGCCTCGCGACCCCCCCCCCCTCCAGGTCCAGGGGAGGGGATAGGGGGAGGGGTAAACCCCTCCCCGAAGGGAAAGAAGGGGGTTGGAAGAGAAAGCCACCCAGGCGCAGAGGACTGGCTGGATTCATCGGCGGCGCTTGCCTGTCTCTGGGAAGTCTTGGAACACGTTGAACGTTAGACTAATCTTGCCGCGGTCCTTGCCCGCCGGACGCAGCGTGCAGCGCGAGTTCAAACGCAAGCCTTGCACCATGGCGGACTCCGTTGAGGGCAACTTGGTCCTGCTCTGGCCTCCCTCGTCCAAGAGGCTCGTGCCCGACGCCCTCTTGCCCAAGACGGCGAGGCAGCCCGACCCTCCCCCCCGGAAGACCTCGTGAAAACCAGTGGGCTCCAAGGAGGTCCTTGCAGCGGTGCGGCGCGCGGCGGTGCAGCGTGCGGCGGTGCAGCGTGCGGCGGTGCAGCGTGCGGCGGTGCAGCGTGCGGCAGTGCAGGCGCACCCCCATCGAGGGACTACGTGGTCCCTCGTGCGGCGTGCGGAGGTGCAACAAATACAATGCAGTCCTTCCTGCGGGAGGCAACGCAAGGCAATCCTGGTGCGTGAAGCAATTCAACGTGATACTCCACAAGAGACCATACTATGCAGTACTCCTTGCGGGAAGCAGTTCTCTGCACGACAGTGCAATGCAGTGCTCACTGCTGGAGGCAATCTGATGCAGGACTCCCTGCGGAGGGCAATACACCGCAAGTCTTCCTGCGGGAGACACTGCAACGCAATGCACTGCAATGCAATGCAAGTGGTCGTGGTGCGACGGCGTTGGCAACGGCACGGCGTGGCACGCAAATCGCATTCCGGAAACTGTGCGCGGCACATCACGACCGCACGGCACGACGGCGATACCCCGGGCGCCCTCTGCCAGAGCGGCACGGCGCGGCGCGGCACGGCACGACGGCACGGTGCCCGCCGCGCTCTGTTGAAGGAGGCACAGCACCGCACGCCTCGACGGCACGGCACGGCGCGGCGCGGGCGCGGCATGAACACTGCCGTCTGGAAACGCTGCACCGCACGGCATGGCCCGACGGCGCGGCACGCCGCGGCACCGAGCTCCGCGGCTGGCCAGCGTGGGCCCCCCCACAGCAAGTCCTGACATACTGTGGATGCGTATGCCATGTGGTGCGCAGGCGTCTTGGCGCTCGCCTTCGGGAAGCAAGCCTGCATCCTCAGGACACCCCCATACGCGACAGCGGGCTGGAGCGTGGAGCATCCTTATTGACCCCCCCGCGAGCGGCAACTTCCGGCAACTGGCCTGAACGTGGCGAAGCCTCGGAACACCCCCACAGGCAGCAACGGCCAGCAACGGGCCGGGACGTGGCAAGTCCCTGGGGCACCCCCACCAACGGCAACTGCCGGCAACAGGGCGGCAACAAACCGGAACGTGGTGACTCCTCGGGACACCCATCCTTTCCTTTGAAACGCAGGTAAGAACCCCTAAATGCGCGCACTGCTTGGGGAAATAGGCACGGCGGCACGGGAAGACGGCACAACTCCAACATCGCATTCCCGCATTCTGCTGGGCAAGGCACGGCAAAACACCAAACTTCGTGTTCTGGAAAGCAGACACAGCACGGCAGGGCGCGGCATCGAAAACGGACTCTGGAAACTAGGCAAGGCCTGGCACGATGGCGCAACGCCGAACTCGCATTCTGGAAACTAGGCACCGCACGGCACGTCATGATGGCACGGCACCTCATGGCAACGAAATCGCATTCTGGAAACTAGGCGCAACACGGCATGGCGCGGCGCGGTGCGACGGGACGGCGCATGAGAACTAGGCGCGGCGCCTCACGGGCACGGCATGGTGCCGCACCAACATCTCTTTCTGGAAACTTGTCACGCCTCGGCACGGCACATCGCATTCTGAAAGCTAAGCACGGCACGGCAACTCACGGCCCCACAATCGCATGGTACCTTGTTTTGGACCAGGGGTACTGGGAATGGCATCTCGTCTCCAAGGAAATGGACGCCCCAACGCACTCGCAATTTTCGGGAGTAGAGCGGCGATCGTTGGCCGTTGTGGAGGTGGCAGCGTCGACATGTTGTTTCTTATTCTGCCTCGCGCCCCTCCCCCTCCCGTCGTAGGTACCTCGCATCATGGAGAAGAAAAATACGGGGTGCAGCAAGCAAGAGGATTGTACGTGATGGCAAGTTGGCTTGTATAGAGAGAGGGAGAGAGAGAGAGAGAGAGAGGATGATAGAGACAGAGCGCGAGAATGAGGATCAAGTACGACTGGCCAACACAAGCTGCATCTCTATTCTTCCTCCTACTGCTGACCATTCGTGCAGGCCGCTGGTATTCGCTATACTGTGTGCAAGACACACCAGGGGCCCTCACCAGCCACACAGCCGAAGGAGGAATGCCGACCGCACGAGACGCTCACAGCAAGGCCGAGGACGAGGAGAAACGGGCGAGCGTGCTGGCTGAGCCAGGTGCCGCCTCACGAACCCGCCGTGAGCGGAGCGCACGTGCGAACCCGCCCCAAGCGAGCACGAGGAGGAAGCGGAGGGGGGAGGAGCCGCCTTCTGGTAGAACTCTTCCATGGCGGCGTCCTCGATGAGCGCCTCCTCCCCGGCGCTCTAGTCAGCCCAACTTTCCTAGTATCTTTTCCGCTGGTGCCCCTCTGCCTCCTCCCCAGCCTTCTCCTACAACCCCTCCTTCTCCTCCTCCTTTTCCTTCTCCTTCTCCTCCTCGACTTCCCTACAGATTTGTTTCATCCTCCGCGTCCTTCTCTTCCTTCTTTTCATATAAGATCCCTTTTCCTTCTACAGCTGCTGATTTTTTCTCCTCCTCATCATGGTTCTGCTGTTCCTTCTGCTGCTCACCCCTCTCCTCCTGCTGCTGCTGCCCCTCCTCATTCTCCACCTTCGCATCTTTCTCCTCCCTCTTCCTCCACCAGCACCCTTTGAGGGTTCTTTGCAGTGTCCCTCTCCTCTTTCATGTTTCCTTTGGGTGTTTGTGGGGAGAGCGACAGCTGTGGGGTATGAAGAGGGAGCGCGAGGAGGATGATGATCAGGAGGATAAGTAGAGAAGCGAGTGATGAGGGAGATCGAACAGAGGATGTTGAGGATCGAGCGAGGGAGGAGGATGAAACAAAGGAGGAGGAGGAGGAGGATAAGGATGATGATGATGCTGATGCTGATGATGAGGAGGAAGAGGAGGAGGAGGAGGAGGAGGAGGAGGAGTAGGGGAAGGGAGGGTAAGATGGGGAGTAGGCAAGCTAGGTGCGCTCGCGGAATATCTGACATCCTACCCCTCCCACCCGTCCCTTCCCATTGCGCTGATTTTTCTGTCCCCCAACGCTTGTCACAGCGGACTTAGAACTCCAAGAGGGACCCCATCGTGTTGGGCGCAATCGGACACACTGGAACTGAGCACATTGGAGGATGAGGTGACGGGTGAGCAGGAGGATGAACAGGCGGAAAAGGAGGACAAGGAAGGAGGATAACGATGAGGAACATCAGCAGCAGGAGCTAGAGTGGAAGGAGCGGGAGGAGCAGGAGGACCAGGGGACGAAGGAGGAGAGGAAAGGAAGAGGGCGACAACGATGAAGAAGGACTCAGATCCAGAAAAGCGGCCCGCGAGGGGGCGAGCGCGTCCTTCTGAACGCCAGGAGCAAAACACCGGTCTTAAGATGATGCCCCCCCTACAGCGGGAACACCGTTTGAAGGTCCGAAGGCAATAGGATTACAAAGCCATAAGGAAGACATTGTTTTGAAACCCTGTGTAAAACAATACGCGGAGGTGCCCAAATATCCACAACAGGACCATACCAGACGGAGTCAGGGGAGAAAGGACAGTAGTACTCATAATCCGCAGTTGTACACAGAGGGCGGAGCGAAGGAGGAGGATCCAGACCAAGTCAAGACAATGCTAGATCGCTGGGGCCGTATGAAGACTACCCGCAACATACTCACCCAATTGTTGCGTATAACGGCGAGGTGCCACGGGGTACAGGGGGACGACTCTGGTACGGCGAGGTCCTCGCCTGCGGTGCCCTCTGCCCGTCACGTGGAGAGGTGCCGCCCCCGCGAGTGGATGCCGAGTGCAAGATGCACGAACGTGCAACATGGCAAGAAAAGGGACGACCACCTGCCAGCTCGTACCGTCCTCCTCATATTCATACGACTCTGCAACATCCCGCATCACTCAAACACACTAATACTGCTTGTCCAGAATCTAACATTTACCATAGCTCAACATCTAGCATCTAATAATCAACGACAAGGGCCCGATTCGGCTTCAGGCCCGCTTCGGCTTCAAGCTCGTTTCGGCTTCGGTCCGTTTCGGCCTCAGCCCGTTTCGGCTTCGGCGCGTTTCGGCTCGGCTCGTTTTGGCTCCGCCAGTTTCGGCTTCGGCGCGTTTCGGCTTCGGCCCGTTTCGGCTCCACTCGTTTCGGCTTCAGCCAGGTTCGGCTTCGGCCCGTTTCGGCTTCCCGGCCCAAATGCGAGCGCGAACCTGAAAACCGAAACAAACCGGAACCGAAACGGGTCGGAGCCGAAACGGGCGAGGACGTAACGGACCGAGCAGAAGCGGGTTGGGACGAAATGCGCCGAAGCCGAAACGGGCCGGGACGAAAATGGCCGGGACGAAACGCGCCGACGCCGAAACGAGCGGATGAAACCGAAACGGGCTGGGGCCGAAACGGGATTCGGGGCCCGTTTCGGCTTCGGCCCCTCGGAAGAATACGCATCGGGCTCGGGAGCCTCAGTGAGGCTCGGGCACCTATGGAGGAGGAGGTGCTCCTCACCATCGCCCTCGCCCTGGCTCCCACTCACTGTAGACATCAGCCAGACCGGCGTCTGCAGAAGAGGCAAGTGAAGGAGGAGGAGGGCGCGGAACACCATGTCGAGCAGAGGCTGACGAGTGTCAGCAGCGGGCTCCCGAGCGCCCGAGGCGCCCACGGGCCGCGGGCGGGCGGGCGCCAGAGCGGAGCTCGGCCCCCCCCCCCCACGAGGCGCCCAAGAGCTGGGGCCAGGCGATGCCTGCGCACAGCAACCCGAAGCACGATGCTCTCACGGGCAAGCACGAGGCAAAACCTCGGCATCCACACAGACACACACACACAGACAACGCACGAGGCGCCCACGGGCGGATACCAGGCAGAACCTCCCCCCACCCACCCAACAGGAGGCGCCCACGAGGCGCCCACGGGCGCCACCAGCAGGGCACGAGCCGAAACCCTGCACGCTTAAGGCAGCACCTGAAGCAACACCAGCAACAATTCCTAAGTGCAAACACTGTGTTGGGGCCAGAGCATACAACGAAACTTCCAAAATTACACTACCACGCGTTACAGAACGAAATTCGCCGGCCCAACGGCCCAGAGGCGTGCTAAGATCTCTGGCTACTGGTAAACAGTATTTCTAGTTCGCGCGCGCGGGGCGGCTCCTGGGGATCCCCGGAAGAAAAATACCCACGGGAGGTCCGACCCAGAGATGTTTTTTCCTTCTGGGCGCGGCTTTCAGGCGCCCCAGAGCGCTCCTAGAGGGCCCCAAGAGTCCCCAAGACGGTCCAAGAGGGCTCCGAGTCGCCGACCGATCGGTCCAAGACGCCCAAGATAGCCTTCAGACGGCCGCAGACGCCCCCCATACGCCCAAAGAGGCCTCGAAGAAGCGTCTCAAGAGGGCCGACAGGAGGCAAAAACCATCGTTTTCCCTTGGCTTTTGAAGGATTTTGCCGTTCTCATCTGTTCGGCTTTCCGACGCTCAACGATGGCCCAAGAGGCCCCAAATATCGCCCCAAGAGGCCTCCAAGAGAGCCCCAAGAGGGCCCAAGAGGGCCCCAAGACGGCCCAAGAGGGCCCTAAGACGGTCCAAGAGGGCCTCATAACGGCCCCAGAGGCGCCCAAGATCGCCCAAGAGGGCCCCAAGACGGCCCCAAAAGGGGCCCAAGAGGGGGAACACGAACCACCAAGTCGAGCCTTCCGCCCCAAGAGGCCCTCAGGAGGCCCCAAGAGGCCCCAAGAGAGCTCAGGAGACCCCCTGGAGGCCCCACGAGGTCCCTAAGAGGCCCCAAAGAGGCGCCAAGATGCCCCCAAACGGCCCCCACGAGGCTCCAAGAGGCCACGAACGCGCAGGCAAACGCCTGCGATGGCACAATACGCGCCGGCGGAATGAGCGAAACGATTAAATACGTAGCACCCCGCAATTGCGGATAAGAGTGAGGGGGCGGGCACCGATTGCTGTTGTAGAGTCAACGTGGGCCGGATCGGGGGAATGGCAGGAGGGCGCTTTCCCAAACCAATGCGAGCAAGCCCGCCGCAGGCGCCGATTTGCGTGCTCTGACAAGTTCAGCGCGGGGGGGATCGCTGGTGGGCCACCCGGAACGAATGCAAAAACAGCTCGCCGCAGGCGCCGAATTTTTGGCTTGTTCAGTGAACGTAGTTTGGGTCGCGGGTGGGTCGCGGGCTCTCCACCTCCACCTGGAAGGAATTCAAAAACAGCTTGCCGCAGGCGCCGAAAATTTTGACTTGTACACTGAACGCGGCTTGGGTCGCAGGTTCTCCACCTGGAACGAATGCAAAAGAAACCCGCCGCAGGCGCCGAAATTTTGGCTTGTTCAGTGAACGTAGTTTGGGTGGCGGGTGGGTCGCGGGCTTTTCACCTCCACCTGGAAAGAATTCAAAAACAGCCCGCCGCAGGCGCCGAAATTTTTGACTTGTACACTGAATGCGGTTTGGGTCGCGGGTGGGTCGCAGGCTCTCCACCTGGAACGAATGCAAAAGAAACCCGCCGCAGGCGAGACAATTTTGGGTGGGTCGCGGGGTGGGTCGCGGGTGGGTCGCGGGTGGGTCGCGGTGGGTCGCGGGTGGGTCGCGGGTGGGTCGCGGGTGGGTCGCGGGGTGGGTCGCGGGTGGGTCTCGGGGTGGGTCGCCGGTGGGTCGCCGCTGCGAAAGAAACCCGCCGCAGGCGCCGAAGTTTTGGCTTGTTAAAGGAACGTAGCTTGGGTCGTGGGCTCTCCACCTCCACCTGGAAGGAATTCAAAAACAGCCCGCCGCAGGCGCCGAAAATTTTGACTTGTACACTGAACGCGGTTTGGGTCGCGGGTTGGTCGCAGGTTCTCCACCTGGAACGAATGCAAAAGAAACCCGCCGCAGGCGAGAAAATTTTGGGTGGGTCGCGGGGTGGGTCGCGGTGGGTCGCGCGGTGGGGGTCGCGGGTGGGTCGCGGGTGGGTCGCGGGGTGGGTCGCGGGGTGGGTCGCGGGTGGGTCGCGGGTGGGTCGCTGGGGGGGTCTCGGGGTGGGTCGCGGGCGGGTCGCGGGGTGGGTCGCGGGTGGGTCGCGGGTGGGTCGCGGGTGGGTCGCGGGGTGGGCCGGGGTTGGGGTTGCGGGGTGGGTCGCGGGTGGGTCGCGGGTGGGTCGCGGGGTGGGTCGCGGGTGGGTCGCGCGGCGGGTCGCGGGTGGGACGACGACAACAAACAACAAGCAACAACCAGAATCCGCATCGCGGAATTTCACTTTAGCCACGCACCCAGGGATAGTGAATGACCGTTCGGTTCAGCCCCCTCACTCTGACATGTGAAAGAGTAACGCTCACCTAGCCAACCCCGGCCAATCCTTCAGGCAAAAAGATGCGCGCCAGAAGCCAGCCGGCGCGCTCGGACTGAACTTCCCGGCAACAGCGCCCGCAGCGGGAGAATCGCTGCACGTGAGCCGGCACGCTTGGAATTAGCTTCCTGGCAACATCCTTGGCAATTGGACAAGCTCCACCATGTGAGCAAGCACGGTCAAAGTGGAAATCCTGCTGGCAACGCTGCCTGCGAGCTGGCACGCTTGGCGTGCGCGTCCTGGCCCGAACGCTGGCGGCGTGAAGTGCAGTGGAACCAAGCCAACACGTTGACGACGCTCACGGGAGGGGCAGCGAAATTACTTGACGCGGAGGTCCCCATATGTGCATCGCATTTTCATGGCACGTCTCGCTGTCAGTGTCTGGCTGGAACTTTTGTCTGGGCCCGTTGATGGTGCCACTTGTTGCAAATCGGTTGGGTACGTCCCCAAGTACACGTTTCGCCGCAGTATGGGTCTCTCTAGAAGGGCCAACGGACAAATTAACTTCCGCAACAGTCAAATCATCCGTCCTGCGATTCGGCCAACTGCTTTTGGACTTTGGCATACGGGGCGTCATTTCCGATTCAAGTATCCAGATCATTTGGCTAAAAACCGTAATTCGGGTTCTGCGTGTTTGAAGAAACTGGCACACACGCAACATATGCGCTTTCAATTCATCATCGCCCAACGAAACTTGAAGCAAGTTGCATTTTTGTCTGGACTGCTTCGATTATCGTTGACTGGCGTGTACGATTGTGTGGGCGTGACTGTGGAAGGGAGAACTCTTCGTAATATGTCCCTGGACTTCTGCAACGAATCCCTTGGAAAGCTGTTTCCGGTGGAATCGTCACATCCTGGTCCCCCCTGCTCCGAATCCGGGGTAAGCGCCGGGGCGCTGTTCAAAACGGCCATCCTACTCGACGGCCTGTGACGTGAAGCCGGCCCCGTGGGCCCTCCGCAGGTGCTGCCCTCAGGAGTCGCTCCGAAGAGGAGCTGCACGGCACCTCGCCCGTGCTTGCCACCGCCGTGTTGGCACCAGTGATACGTTGTGGGCCTGCAGCAGCGTGGAGGGCCTACGGACTCGCTCCACGGTACCTTCAGCCACCTCTTCCGTGCGCCTGCCGCGCCTCGAAGTCTGTGGTCTCGGCCCACGCCTTCCGCGGCTCAATGCGCAGTGAGGACAGACGATCTCTTCCACCACGCCGGTCGCGAAAAAGCTCGGTTCGGTCGGACTCGTCCACTGCGCCCGCTACCTTCACCCATTTAGGTGGCGCGCAGAATTGTTCGCCCTGTTCTGTAGTGCTGGTCCAGTTGGATCGCCTCGACCTCGCTGGTGACTCCATTCTCCAGAGCCGCAGCCCGTGGGGAAGAGCCCTTGCGGCTATGTGCTCCTTGGCCAACTTTGAACTCACGTGTCAGCACGGGCACCTCAATTAAGTCTCTCACCAAATATCGTGAGGAATCGTCCCGCTGCGTTGCACATACATGCAAGCTGGCCCGCAATAGCTTGTAGAGACTTGACGCCACGGGGACGAATAGCAGCTGGCGTTGCGCATGCGGCGTAACATAATGACGTGGAACACCGTGGGCACAGCCCAAGCCTCCTCCGACCTCCCCCTTCCTGAAACTTATCAATGCAAACCTCTCCAACCTTCTCAAGTCGCCTAAAGCACCAGATCATTGCTCGAACAGTTCCGAGCACCTTCCGAACCTCTCCATTACGTGTCCTTTCCCCTCCTCGTCTTATCAGCACCTCATCTCCTTCCTTACCCTCCCCTCCCTGCCCGTCCTCCAGCTTGCGCAGTCAACGCTGATCTTACATATGCGAGGCAAGGATACAAGACCCTAGGGCGCCCATGTTGATCAAATCCCAGCAGCATTCGGCGATAGGTGAAAACTTGGAATGCAGGTGCGCGTGGGAATTAAAGTGCTGGCAATGTTCGGAGCGGCGCAAGAGGAAAACGCTTTCATGTCAGTCCTCTCTTCGTCCCCAAAAAGCGCCGATCGCAACCTTCGCAGTATTGTAGGATTCGACAGATTTTCGATTAGCGTCCATCTCATCCCGCCATTCAGCTCGTCTCCCCCACTCCTGCTCGCTGACCGCAAGCAACTCGTCGTCCAACTCGTCCAACTCCTGTTGCTCCGTGCCTGGCAACATGGGGGGCCATCCACCCATACCTCCTCCTTCCCCAGAGATCAGACGTATGTTTTTTACGACACTGAGCCGTTTCCATAGAGGCCAGAACCTGCCAAAAACCTCCGCATTGAATTTCTCAATACGTTGGAGCATCAGGGCTTACTACCAGCTTCTAAGTGCTGATCTCGACCATTGAGGATGGAGAAAGGAAGTATTTGTTTGTTTTCAATTTGTTGCGTTCTGCATCTTTGATGTGCTGCCAAGCCGGTGCGAAGTGGGCATCCGCGCGTGACCACCTCCCATGCTCGAGCAAGCGCCCCGCGCACCCACCCGCCCGCACCCCCTCGGCAAAGTGCATGACGGCCGTGAGTGTAGCCACCCATCGGGACGTGCTCGCGAACCTCAAGCAGCGCAACGACGCGCGGACCCTGCTCATGTAGATCCATGACTCAGGCGGGGGCGTTGATTTTCTCATGATCCGTCCCGCGGCGGGTGGTACCGCATGGCCGCTCTGGACAGGGTGGCCACGCAACATCTACTGTATCGCGCGGTCCGCCCCCTTTGGAGCACCGCTCCATCTCCGAGGGTCAGGGAGGGAACCTGGTCGGAAGCTGTACTGCCCGAGCCGGGGGTCAAGGTCAGATGCAACTCGAGCGCTAGGACAGCACAGCGCCGGTGATGCTCTGATCGTCTGGCATTCAGATGATTGACGTACCGCGCGAGGCTTCGTGCTCGACGGGCTCTTTCCTGGCAGGCAACGCACGAGGCACAAGGCACATTGCATGGCAAATCCTAGGGCTGGCAGGGGGCAATACCCTACAGTGCGAGGTGACATTGTGAAACAACATGGTAGAGTCCGCCAGAGGATGCGCTTGTCACATCACCAACTGGCAGAGGGAACGGGTTCCCAAACATTGCGCTGTTCAAGTGAGTCAGCTGGCACGGAATGACAGGGCATTTTTTCCACGGCAAACGAAGCCACAAGCCACGGATACCTCCCCAGCAGCAAATCCGCTTCCCCTCACGGGGGCTATAAGAAACCCGTTGGCATGCTCAATGTAACACTAAAGCGGACATGCGCAATAATGTCGGGCTGGGTAAACGCCACCGCCTTCCAAGGAGATGATCAGGAGGAGGAGGAGGCGGATGGTAAAAAACGCGAAGCAAGAGATAAGGATCGATACTGGCGCTTTGTGTACATTTCTGCATGGTCCAACCGACCATTCAGATTATTGAGCAACGCACAGAGACAGGCGGTAGAACAGTGCACGGTACCGAAAACAAGTTGCAATCAAACCAGCCCCACGGCTGATAGAACATCGACCCACAATACTATCGCACGGGAGGCGGAAGCAAGAAGGGTGGAGAAGAACAGGCCAAGGGGCCGAGAAGAAGGAGGAATGGATGTTGAACTGCGAGCGCAATCCCAAGCAGGCACACCGTACGAGGCAGTGGACTGGGCAATGAGGCACTCCAGTGGTTCTGAATATCATCGCCGAGCGGGCGTCACTGTCAAACGCGGGAGCGCGGGTCAAGAGCGGATTCCGAGAGGGGAGCGGCACTAAGCCCGGGGCACCTGGTAGTCCGCCAGTACGCCCTGGCCGTGCAAACGGCACGCATTTGCTCAGGGTGCCCATGCACCCTTCGCCCCCCCTCCCCGAGAAACAAGGGCGGATGGGGGGGGAAGGGAGAAGAGGAGGACGCCAGAGAGAGAGGCGGAGAAAGACCGAGAGAGACATGACTATCTAACATGGGCTTTCATACCCAAGGCTCCGCGCCGCCAACATGCCACACGTGCCCGCGCAACGTGGGCAAAAACACTGCGCCCTGCGCTTCGTCGGGCCCCGCTCTGCTGGGTCCACCCCGCGCAACAAAAATCGTGCTCCAGGGCATCTGCATCGCGCCAGAAGACACTCCCTGTGCGCCGCGGGCCTCTCCTGCGCCACTCGGCTGCCGAGCGCGCCCTCGCACTGCTCGGCTCCAGAGGGCCGCTGCGTCTCCGGACCACTCGGTTCTGCCGCGCCGCCCCGCCCTGCGGGCGCGGGGTGCCTGGGGTCCATCTCGGGGCGGTCTTGGGGCTGTGGTCGAGCCATCTCGGAGCCTGGCTGGGCGCCTCTTGGGCTAGCCTGGGGGCGCCCCTCTTGGAGCCACCTGGGGCCGAAAAGCGGAGAGCATCGGAAATGTGTGAACACCTCTGCGCTGTTGGTGATCTTGCCCTCTCGGGCCCCGCGCGGGGCAACCTTGGAGCCTCTCTGTGCCACCACGACGCCATCTCGGTGCGTCCTGGTGCTTCCGGGGCCATCTTGGGGGCCAGCCTGGCGATCGCGGGTGCTTCCTGGAGGGCTCTCTTGGGCCGCATGGGGCCCGCAAGGGGCTCCACTGGGCGGTCTTAGGGCGTCCCAGAGGCGCCAGGGCCGCCCCCGCGCCGCCCGGGCCGCTTTCAGCCTACGTGGGCGAGCGCCCTGCTGGCGCTCCGTGGCGCGAGAGCACTGCGGTACCGATCACGTTGGGCGCCATGTTCGCCTCCCGCATCTCACTGAGCAGCGACGGTGCCAGCTGCCATTGTCCGCCTTTTCTGCGTGCGCCGGCAGTCGCAGTGCAGTGGCCCTGGGAGAGCTCCAAACCCGACACAAATCCTTCGCGGAGCAGCTGCAGTGCTGCGCTCCGCTGTTTTGACCAGCCGCGCTTCCTGATTGTCACCTCGAGGGAAGCAGCGCCGTCTCGAGAGCCTCGCCAGACGTGTAGCATCTACGCAGATATCGCACCATAGAGGCTTGAGCCAAAATGGCTGGAGCCATGATGGCTTGAGCCTGGCGCCGAGTTTCCCAAACTCTCGCACGGCAACCGATGGTACGAGAGGGGAGACAGCGAGGAGGAAAAGAGATGAGGGACGAGCAGCCGGGCGGCTCCTGTGCACCATGCTCGTCTCAGACAGGGACGCTCTCAGAGCTCTACGTCGGGCTTCTCGTACCAGTGGTGCCGCTTAGAGTCCGAGGCTCGAACCCCTGCTCGACCAAGTGGTGAATCCCAGAGTGGCACTGCCATTCGCCGATGTACTGCTCAACATCGTGCTGCTGCATGTTCCTCGAGTCGTAACTCGCCCAATCGTTAGGTGTCAACAGCGTGCTGCTTCTGCTTGCTGGCAAGCTGTGCAACGTCTTTTTTCTGCTGGTAGCTGTGGTGCTGTTCAATGAAGTGATACACGCAACATGCGTCGTCCTACTTGTACATGTCAAGACTGCTGACACGCACCGTTATATTGCTCGACGTCATGCTGCAAGTAGCTGGCGAGCTATATCAACGGAGTGGCACACGAAGCACTCCTCGTTCCCCTCGTGGATGTCAAGGCCCTGCTGATGCTCACCGCCAAAACCTGGTATCGTTGTCACACTGCCAGTCCTTTCTTGGACGGCAGAGTCGTGCTGCTGCTCCTCGTCGCGATACCCGTCTCCAGAGAGGAAGAAACGTGGAGGAAGAGGAGGAGGAGGAGGAGGAGGAGGAGGAGAAGGAGAAGGATGATGAGGAGGAGGAGCAGGAGGAGGAGGAGGAGGAGGGGGGGGGAGGAGGAGGAGGAGGAGGGAGGAGGAGGAGGAGGAGGAGGAGGAGGGAGGAGGAGGAGGAGGAGGAGGAGGAGGAGGAGGAGGAGGAGGAGGAGGAGGAGGAGGAGGAGGAAGAGGAGGAGAAGGAGGAGGAGAAACAGGAGGAGCAGGAGGGAACGATGCACCGAGGCATCCTGAATGTGCGAGCTCTTGGGTTTGACAACTCCCTCCCGCATCTACAATCTCGTGGTGTACTCCCAGAGGGGCATGCCGGAAGGGAAACTTCCAATCATCAGCACTGGCTCTCTTCACCCGCGCACAAAGAGCAGGGAGGGGAGGAGCAGCGCAGGGTGAAGAGGGCACTTGTGAGGATGACGTGGAAGCGCAGAAGCAGGAACTGGAAGAGCGGACCCCGAGCCGACACCGACGAGTACAGAGATCACCACGAAGAAGCACTGCATTAGCATGAGGTGTCAACTTGAACATACGAGCTGCTGCCGCCAACTCTAGTCCAAGGAACGTGGCGTCCCCATTCAATTCTTCCCACGGCTGCTGCTGCGGACGGGTGGCTTCTGCGAGTGGCCCTATGCCAAGAATGCCGAGACCGGGGGGGGGCAACATCGGAGGGAGGAGGCGCTCCTCGCAAACCGCCAGCTGCTCGAGCAGTCGCGGGAGGGAGGGATCTCCCTGGCCCGCGCGCCCCCTCTCCCTGGGAGCGGCCCCGATGTGGCGCGCCGCTCCCAGGGACGCCGCCGCGCTTGCGAGGCGGTGGGGGAGCGCGCCGGGTCCCGAACCGGGTGCGAGTCGCGGTGGGGCGCGGAGGCCGCTGGGGCCCCAGGTCTGGCCGAGAGCGGCGCGTGCCCCCGAGCCATCGGCCGCAGAATTCCCAACCACCCTGTGGTGTTGGGTCCTCGTCTTGAAGAGACAGCGCCCCGCGTCCCTCCTTCCCTCCTGCCTCCTCCTCCTCTCCTCCTCCTCCCTCCTCCTCCTCCTCCTCCTCCTCCCTCCTCCTCCTCCTCCTCCTCCTCCTCCTCCTCCTCCTCCTCCTCCTCCCTCCTTCTTCCCATCCTTGCCTCTGCTCTCCGCATGCCCATCCCATTTCGGCGCACCCCTCACAGGGTTCGTGGCCCCACAGGGAGCTCCACCGAAGGCCCCAGTGGCAGCGTTCGCATGCAGTTCCACCCTCATGTCGGCGCACCCCTGATAGGGTTCGTTGCCCCGTAGGGAGCTCCACCGAAGGCCCGAGTGGCAGCGTTCGCATGCAGTTCCACCCTCAGGTCGGCGCACCCCTCAAAAGGTTTGTGGCCCCACAGGGAGCTCCACCGAAGACGGTACTCGTAAATGCGGCACTCACAACTGCACATGGTTGGGTCCGTCGCCAGGCTATTTTTTTGGTGATTCCCTCGAAGCGTTCACATGGTTTGGTGCAGGGCCCTGTTATCTCGCGCCCGTGCCGTGCATGACCGCAGCATCGGCCATTCGCCCCTCTCGATTGGGGTTGCGGACCTGCTTCGTGATCTCTCTTCACTTTTGCCCGTGACGCCGCCGACCGCAGAATGCCGACCTGTTCGAAGTCGACAGGCATGTTGGCCAGTACCCACGTGCTCGCGCGGACTGCGCGCGCCGCGCAGGGAACGGGGCGCGGGGAGCCGAAGGGGCACGAGGATAATGTACTCTATGAGAAGCGCGGGAGCCGGCAGCGAGAGAAGCATCGGTAATATGCCATGGGGGCGCCTAGATCCTTCTGGGCTCGCCTTTGCTTCTGCACCTCCTGCAGCACGGGGAAGAGAGAGAGAGAGGTGGAGGAGCAGCCGAGGGTGCGACGATGACGACGGCGGTGCTGAAGACGATGATGGTGACGGTGCGGCCGAGGAGGACGAGGAAGCACTGATAAGGGAAGAGGTAAGGGGGAGGGGCATGAGGGCAGACAGAGGAGGGCGGTTTGATTAGCGAGGAGAGAGACGGGAGACGGGAGGAGGGTTGGAGGGGAGGGGGGAGGGGGCAAAGGAAGAGGAGGGATTAGGGAAGGATGGAGGATACATATGATGAGGAGACGGTGGGCACGTAGATCCTTGTGGTGCACCACCTGCCGCAGCACATCGCTGCAATAGACCATCCAACGCTGTACATGCTTCTCGCTTCTCGCTCCTCTGCGCTGCCCCTCGCTCCTCGTTCGTCCTTCAGCTCTTGCTTAACCCTCCTCCTCTTCCTCCTCCTCCTCTTCACTCCTCCTCGTCCTGCTCCTTCTCCTCCTCCTCCTCCTCCTCCTCCTCCTCCTCCTCCTCCCCCCTCCTCCTTCCCACTCTTCGGTCATCATTCCCCCCGTCTTGCCTCATACCCATGCTTGCTTGGTGCACCGGAAGAAACACTGAATCATACTTGATTGCCCACACAATAGCAGGAGTCTAGTGGTGAGGGCCCAGAACGACGGAGCGGGGAGGAAACGGATGAGGATGAGACGAAGACGAGGGAGGAGGAGGAGGAGGAGGAGGAGGAGGAGGAGGAGGAGGAGGAGGAGGAGGAGGAGAAAGAAGATGAGGAGGAGCAGGATGAGGAGGATGTTTCCCAACCCTCCCTTGGTTAGGTTCTCGTTTTGGATAGAGCAAAAGGGTCTCCACCTCCTCCTCGCCCCCCCCCGCTCTCCTCTCGGCTCTCTCCTCTCGCGTCTTTCGTGGGGGCCGCGAAATGTGAAACCGTCGCCACTTTCAAGGGCTGCTGGGGGAGCCAGCGCAGTGTGGTCACACGCAGACCCAAACAGGACCTCGACATCCCTGGGGGACTCCGAATTGTGAAACTGTCGCCACTTTCGAGGGCTGCTAGGGGAGCCAGCACCATGGGGCCACACGCAGACCCAAACGAGGCCTCGCCATCCCTTGGGGGCTGCGAAGTGTGAAACTGTCGCCACTGTTGGGGGCTGCTGGGAGAGCCAGCACAATGGGGCCACACGCAGACCCAAACGGGATCTCGCCATCCCTGGAGGACTCCGAATTGTGAAACAATCGCCAATTTCGAGGGCTGCTAGGGGAGCCAACACAATGGAACCACACGCAAATCCAACCGGGACCTCGCCATCCCCGTGGGGCTGCGAAATTTGAAACTGTTCCCAAAGGAGCCCGCACTACGGAATCCCACGCAGATCCAAACGGGACCTCGCCATCCATGGGGGGCTGCGAAGTGTGAAGCTAGGCGTCGTAGTAGTCGTAGCAGTAGTAGTAGTAGTAGTAGTAGTAGTAGTAGTAGTAGTCGTCGTCGTCGTAGTAGTAGTAGTAGTAGTAGTAGTAGT